GATTTCTTAACATGACTGACAAACCCAGGGATTGAAACAAAATATGAATTAAAATATTGAACATTAAATAAACATTTAAAACACACTAAGATAAAGAACAAGAATAGAACATAGGTTGATCTTACATAAATCTTAGGTTTGCTAACTTAGACACCAAACCAAGGGTCATACTCTTACCCTGGGTTAGTCTGAGTATAGAAGCCTAGGTTAGTTTAGGTACCCTTGTTAGTTCTAAGGACTAGGACATACAAAACAACAAGCTTACCCCTTGAGACTAGAGAGAATACCTTAGAATGAAGTAACTCATGATTACTGATGAAGGTACTTTAAACTGCTTCGAAACTAAGAGTCCTCAATAGGCTACCTCCCGTTTAGGATATGGTGATCCACCCTCTTCCCTTATGGTTAGGTAGATCTTGAAGCATAGGGGTGTTCCCATCGATTTGACCTAATTATTTTTTATGCCTCGTTTATGGATGTGTTGCCAATCATTTGTAGAAATGAGGGATTCTCCCTCTCCCATGTGGCTCGATGTAGGCTTTCGAGATAATGAGAAGCTCCTGGTTGAAATATAGATCCTTTTGATGACCTATCCACCAGAGTAGCACTATAATGTAAGCAAGACTGCTTATCAAGAGTATTCTTGTGTATCCCCCAAGATGTAATTAACCAAAGGGATACATTCCTTTGGGAGCCCTAGAACAAAATATTCTTTTTAGTTCTCTAGTTACGAGTGGCTTATGTAGAGATTCTCTTCATGGATACCATATTTTGGGGTTTCGATCTTATTCAGTTTGGATGTATACTCTTGACTCATCACATGAAGATTATCGTAACTAAGTCTTTCATGTTTCTTTTTAAATTTATTTGTCTATTTCTATCGTATATTGTATATCCTCTTCTCTTTGGGTCATTTCTATGATCGAAAAGGGTGATTTATTTGAAAAAGAGAATAATACAATGACATATAAATAGACAAGTTGGAAACTCCAAGTTCATTTAAAAAGAACAAAAAACAATCTAGCGACTCCGCTGGGGATACCTTGTGAGACCTTGGAGTTTGAATATATGTGTCAGCTGTTATAGTTAGTAAATCAATATTATTTTGTCTCTTTTTCTCACCCCTGACATTTTTCTTGCTACATCTTCACATGTGTCAATGTCATTATATATATATATATTTATTGGTGTCCCTTTTGATTGACATAAATGGATAATCAAAAGAGGATCACGATCAATATTTTGGGGGAACATTGTTTCTTTTTCCCTTGGTATTTTATGTGCTTCTGATTGGGTTATAACATTTGGTTCATTCGAGCACCCTATATGGATTACCTTGGGTAATCTTATGTCCATTGAGGCATTTGCTCTATGCCCTCCTCTGAAGAAAGGGAGACATGCACATAGGGCTACTACTGTCGTGGTAACTCATGTCCCACCAACCTCTTCTATAAAGAAGAGGCCAGCAGTTGATGGCGATGCACCATAACAACTGTTTACTTCCATTTCATCCCTTTGTATTTTCACAGATCTCTTTGCAAATGGTAGGTGAGTCATCTAACAGCTCTAAAGCTATCGTCGTTCTCTTAGATGTTGTCTCAGCTTCTCTCGTCCCGTGTTCCTCTGAGGTTATACCTACTCCTAAATTGGGCAGGAAAGCCCGGAGGACCAGAAACAGATTGTTGTAGTCTCAGCAGTAGGGCCTGCAGTAGTTATCTACACCTATTTCAGTTCAATCCTAGAAGGAATCTCAGTTTCGCTTGGTCGAGAATATGTTTGTTGTTCTGACTGTCTGCTGCAGATTTCATATTACATGTTTTGTTATGATTAAGCATATAATGAGGTATAGTTTGAGTGAAGGGAAACAGATCAAGTTCACAGTTGGTAGAGGAAGCTTGATTATCAGACAAGTTGGGTAAGGGTGTGTAAGTAGGTGTCTTATGAGAAATGGTGTTAGAAAGTACAGTCCTGGAAGTAAATAGAATAGTGACAAAGTTGAGAGGGAGTAAAGGTCTGTAGAGGGAGTTGTAGATAAGAGATGGGAATAGGCAATAGTGGAGGTAAGGTTTTGGAGCCAGAGAAAAAGAAAGAGAGAGATTACCCCTTGAGCTATGCTCATTAACTGAATCTTATTGCTGCTTTCACAGGGATAACCGTCAAATCTTATTTCTGGGGTGATTTAATGAGTACTCTTCTCAAAGCTTATCGTTACTGGCAGGTATACACATTCACGACGCAGGAGCATTATGGGTCGTTCTTTATGTAATTTGTCGATCATACATCTTTGGCATTATTGTCAGCCTTGCTCCTCAATTTTGAGTTCCCTGAGTGTTGGTTAGCTGTTGCAGGTTGGGGTGTAAAAGAATTGAACATGAGAAAACAGAGCTCATGCTCATGTTTGGCTTATTTGAAATTCTATCTATTTGAAATAGGCTTATGATTGAAAGTGTTTGTGAAATAGTTTTTTGTGTTATGCTCGATTTGTTTGAATTTAGTTTGAATTGTTTGAATTGTTTGTATTATTTGAATTGCTCGTGTTTGACACGTATTCAGTTCAAAATTAGCTGAAAAAATATAAAAAATTAATCATTTATTAAAAAACTATAAAAAGAAAGAAGAAGCATCCTGCGATAAAAAAATTTATTTCTTCAACTATATTATTAAAAATTGTAATTACAAATATAATACAAATTTGAAGCTCTAATCTCAAATTCTTAATCACTACAAATCATTATTATAAAACAAATAAAAAATAAATTAAAATTTTACAATTATATTACAAATAAAAAATACATTCAGCATTTTATTTATATCTTCGAAATCCCAATCTTCATTTCTTGAAGTTTCTCCCAAGAGGCAAAGCCTGCGCAAGTGAATATGATTAGAAAATAGGCCTTTAGGGTTTTGCAATAGATTATGTACTTATATAAAATGTATTAATATAGGAAATTTAAAATTATAAATATATTAGTTACTTATTATAATGATTTCGTATATATAATTATTTATATTAATATAGGATATATAAAAATTAAAATATATTTTCATTTTTTCTTATATTAATAAATTTATAACTATTTTTAGTATATAGTTATAATTTTTTTTATTAAATACTTTAAATTAAACTTTGTAATTCAAACAATAACCAGTCAAATACAGATCTATTCCAGTTCGGATCGTTTACAAAACGAGCTCCAAAAAGGTGATCGTGTTCAGCTTGTTTGCTTATCGAACACAAGCTGTCTGCCAAGCCAAACACGAGTTGTTCGCGAACGAGGAGCTTTTTTACTGCTCAAGCTGCACCATATGAACTCTTTGAGTTCCCCAGTCTCCATCAGACCTAAGCATATATTAGAAAATTTTATGTAGCTTTATATTATAAAAATTATAAAAACTTTGAAATGATAATGCATTTTCATTGCCAAACTAGGCGTTGGTTGAGGTGCCAGTTTTGATTTTCTTATTGGCGTCATATGCTGAGGGTTGAGACTCGGCTTAGGTCCCCTCGGTCGACCCTTAACAAGTTGGGGGTCATTTTATTCTTTGTGCTCCGGACCTATGCCTGGATTGATGTTGATCATTTGAAGTTAATCGAGAGTTGTCAATGTGCCACTGATTGGCTTTCCCTAAGTGAGTTCTCCAATCATGAGGAGTCAGCTATCTATTTTAGGGTGTGGTTCTCACCTTCGAGCCAAAACCTCTCAGAAGACAATTGAAAGGTGATTTGTTTACTCCTGGATCTGTTGTTGTATAAACTCCTTAACACACTCTATGCTAGGAGTATCTCTGTGGAAGACTTTTTCTCATTGGTATGACTCTTCTTTTTATTGGCGACATGCTTCATACTCACAACACCTTTTAGAATGTTGATACAAGTTTAGTCCAGGTGACACGCACAAGGGATTGAACGTTTGAACCAAGGGAAAATACCCAGGTGACACGCACAAGGGCGCACAAGGGATTGAACGTTTGAACCAAGGGAAAATGAGAGATAAAGAGTGAGGGAAACGAGTGTATAACAACTTGCTCCTCTGGGGAAAACAGGGGTATTCCCGATTTTTTGTGGCTCTTTTTATATAATCAAATATTATATTTTAGATGCATGAGAGAAGGGAGAAAGCCAAAATGTCCCCTTACATGAAAAGACCACCTTATAGTAGAGGGAGTGTGATAAATAAAAATTAGATGTCTAACCCTACTTTAATAAGTGTTGCATATTATTCTAGAGATTATACACATGTGGGCCTAGAGGCTTACTGCTCTTCAGTTTTATCTACAGGGTCGACAAGGAGAAACAATCAGTGCCGCCAATCGGCCAAAAGGATAGAGACCATCAGTTTATCCATCCAATTGATTGACACATTTCAGGCAGGGATGACCATCGCTGTCTGAAGATAGTCCACAAGACTGATCGAGACAGTTGGTATTAGTTGGTCGGATGTGCAGATCTGATTTGTTCCTGTCAAGGGAATTTTTGTCAATTAAGTAAAACTTAGTTCATCGGGAAAATGTTATAGTTTTGTCATGTATTGTTGAGCCTGTTCGGATAATCTCTGGCTAACATAAGTCAATTGGTTATGTCGGTTGTCTGGTCATTTTCCGATAGGTCCAACTTTATCACATCATTCATCAGTAGGCCGTCAGATTGCTTTGAGATTAGTGCAGACCCCTTCTCCATGTACAAAAAGTACTTAAAATCCTCAAGGTAAATCCTAATAAATCAATGCAAAGATCTCATTTATATCGAACAGGTGGGAGGGCAACCACTGCAGCTAATAGTAGGTTGGTGGCAAAGATAGGGCGCTCTGTGCAGCCGTTGGCATCAAGCGCGAACAAACTACAATTTCTGGTCACAACTAGAGCAGACCTACGGTTACAACTTCCATCGAAGCAACCTAGAAGTGGAAAAATAACACAGATAAACCCACTCATTAGGTCTAATATACCTTTCAGAGATTAAAACATCGCTACTAAAAAATACACTTAGAAAATCTCATCTATATATTTGCCCTTATCTTTTGAAGAGAGAGAGAGAGAGAGAGAGAGAGAGAGAGAGAGATGGGAGAGAAGAGAGAGAAAGCAGAGAGCATCCTGAGAGTTTCATCAATGGTGCTGGCAGCCATGAGTGCGCTCATCGTTGGTCTGGATGAAGAGACCAAAACCGTCCTCTTCATGAGAAAGAAAGCCACATCTCGGAACCTTCGTGTTCTCTGGTAATTTTTCATCTCTTCATATCTCTCCTTTGATTCTGCAACACATCTTCTAAATATGAAGACGAAAATCTTATAAGAAACTCCCTATTGAATTTGTTTAGAGTTTTTATAGGGATTTCACGATCATTGCTTCACTGGCCGGTGGCTATCATCTTCTACAACTCTGCCGTTGTATAGCCGTTGCTTGGCGAACAAAAAATAATCCTCGAACGACCAACAAACTTTTGGCATGGATTTGGTTTCTATTGGACCAGGTGATTATTTAATCAACCATAATTTATGTTATAGTATAAACTTTATGAAATAGATGTAACCTTATTTTAATTTTAATATTCGTACCACCCCAAACGTTGGCCATCTAATGATCCGATTATGAGAGTAGATGTTTTAGATTCGACTTGTGTTAAGAAAGACAGAGGTAGATATAGGAAGACTTGGGCTTATTGTATTAAAAATGATCTTAATTTATTAGAACTAAATGAAAATATGACACTAAATAGGACTCAATAGAGAAAAAGGACTCAAGGGATCAAGACTTTATTGTTGTTGTTGTTGTTGTTGTTGTTTTTGTATACGTATCAACCATCTCCTATGTATTTACATATCTTACCCTTAAACGTTACTTTTTTACTTTTAGTCCACTTAAATATAATAAATATCACTAAAGTTTAATTGGTATGTATTTTATTTTTATTTTTTGGCCTTTTGATCTAACTTTAGTTCTGAATTGCTATATATATAATTAAAATAATATTGTTTCATATCAAATATTGTTGTTGCCACTTATGACATAGATATAAATCTATTTGTGTGCGATTCTACTATTAGAAAAATTGCATGATTTAGGATACATAAATACATGAAAAATTATACATAAATTTTGAATTTTTGCACAATTTCCTAAATCTAATAGAATGTTTGGCATGATATAATTATATACCACGCCTAAGGAGGCTTCAATAGATATATGCTTTAACTGTCCTTCCATAATAATGAACGTCAGCCACAACTACTAACATTTAAGAGGTAATAACCTACTTGACTCATTGTGAGATGAAGTCGCTGGAATGGGAGATTCACATGCTTTGGTGGTTGCGCTCATTAATTACTTAAATGATGGAAAATAACTTATTGCAGAATTTGTTGCCACAATTTACAATTTTACCTTAACTTTTTCTTTTAAATGTAGAAGGAACGCTGTGATCCCCTCGAGGTATGGGATTGCATGATTGTGTCCGTGTGATTGTTGGAAATTCCATTAATTTTTCAAAAATGAAAAAAAAAAAATTTATGGGGAAATTTTTTTATGTATTTACATATTTAATATCTAAATTTTTATTTCTTATTTTTATGTCATCTTGTATGTGCATAAAAAAAGTGTGTTCAATTTTTTAAAGATATAATTAGGGCCGTTAAAACTGTTCTTTGTTCGGGAATAGCTCGTGTTCTGCTCGTTCGCTAAGTTAGCGAGCGGAACTCGAACAAATATTTGCTCGTTCGTGTTTGGCTCGTTTTCGCTCGAAATACTACTAATCATTATATATATATCTTTGATGAGTAGTTTATTTTTTTAATTTAAATGACTATAAAGATAAAAAGATTTTTAATCAATTAAAAGTATTAACGAAGAAAATAGAATAAAAATTATTAAATTAGATTCAAATGATGTTTTGAATATTGTCTCAATCTTTAACATCTGATGGCTACGTGATTAGGGTTGTCAAAATGACTCTTTGTACGTGAACGGCTCGTGTTCGACTCGCTAAGAAAACGAGCAGAATACAATCACACTTTTTTAGCTCGAAATATAAACGAGTGGAACACGAGCCGAGTCTGGCTCGCTCATGTTCGACTCGTTTACACCCCTGGGTATGTATGTAAAAACCCCTATTTAAAAAAGAAAATTCGAGTTAGATATAATAGTGGCATTTTTTGTGTGATATAAAGGATTTGGGTGTTAGAAACATGAAAAGCAATGTTGAGATGTTAGATATATAAATATATAGGAATTAGGTGGTATGTACGTAAAAACCCCTATTTAAAAAAGAAAATTCGAGTTAGTATTTATGAATATTGGGCTCCATTGGGGCAGTTGAACGATAGGAGCTCTTAATGTCTTGTCTATTTTCTGTTAGATTTACTGGAGATGAATAAAATATATTTTCATAGAAGTAGTGATTAGATAATTAACTTTCACACAGTTCTTATATATTTACATAACAACATTTAAACCATCATTTGAATCAAAATTAACAATTTTTATTATATTTTCTTCATTAATACTTTTAATTGTTTATAAATCTTTGTAGCCTTATAGTCAATTAATTTTTTTAATAATACTACTCATTAAAGATATATATACATAATTGATTAGTAGTATTTCGAGCCAAAATAGACCGAACGAACAAATATTTGCTCGTATTCGGCTCGTTACTTATCAAACGAGCCGAACACGAGCTGTTCGCAAACAACAAGGGATTGTAACAACCTTAATCATGTAGTCATAATATGTTAAGAATTTGGGCAATATTTAAAACATTATTTGAATCTAATTTAATAATTTTTATTCTATTTTCTTCATTAATACTTTTAATTGATTATAGTATTTCGAGTCAAAACGAGCAGAACACGAACTAACAAATATTTATTCGTGTTGTTCATGTTCCACTCGTTAACTTATTTTGGACGTAATATTAAATGATTCAGTGTTATAAATATAAATATGAAGTTTTGGTGTTAAACATATAAATATATAAGAATTGTGTTGCCTATAAACATAAAAGTTTTGTATTTAAATTTTCTTATTGCAATGTATGACATAAAAAGTTTAGCTCGGTATAAATCTAAGAAAAATGTTTTCTTCATGAAATTTTTATTCAACCACAAGGGATAAAAACTAACATGATTGTTGTAAAACAACATGTACAGGGAATGACTTATACAATGTTTGCCATGACAGTCGCGGCAACGGAAGCATCAATGGTGGGGTTGAGAGGAGTGAACCAACTTCAATGGTCCAAAATCTGCAACATCTATGGAAAATTTTGTGGCCAAGTTGCCGGAGGTCTATTATGCGGCTTCGCAGCATCGATCGCCATGGCCGTCGTATCCTCCATTTCCGCCCGCAATCTATTCAAGCTTTACTCGGTTTATAATAGGAGGGAGGTCTCTAGCCCTAAGAAGTGGAGATGGAATGTCTTCTATTCTGGTTTTAGTTGAACTTACAACAATGCTTTCGCCTTTAATAATAATTAGAGTTGGTGGTTTGATGTTCTAAGATCATCTCTCTTTGATGTTATCGATGAAATATCGAAAATAAAAGTGTGATTTAATCAGTCGTGCAAATCGGTGTTGCTTGTTTAATCAGCCAACGTTGGAAAACTGTACTCTTAATTACTATGTCACGAGTAAATACCTAAATCAACCCCGAACTCAAACTATGATTTGTTTGAATTTGATTTAATGTTTTTTTGGTATTTACATATCTAAGATCTAAATAGATGTTGTTACTGTGATTATTATTATTATTATTATTATTATTATTATTATTATTATTATTATTATTATTATTATTATTATTATAATATGAAGCATAAATCCCTTGAAAAAAATCAAGTCAAAAGGTCTTCACCTTTTGAGCCCTAAGGTGAGATTTACTATCTGATTATTTTTTAGATTAGTAACATTTAAATATCATATTCATTGGACATATATTATTCATCTCAAAATAAATTAAAATATATAAAATTTATTGTGATGAAAGCAACATATGGGCATTTCCGCACTCAAATATCTTTTCAAGTACATTTTTCACATATGACGATGGATTGCATTTTTTCATAATTATGAAATCATTTTCAAGATGTAAATCGAAAATGTATCAGCATGAATAACAAAGATATCTCGCAGAGAGTAAAGAAGGTGATGTGGCCCCATGAGACATACCAAGGATGACTCGGGATCCCATGCTCAGTTGACCAGTCTCACGTATTGGGAAAACAGCGCGCCTCAAACAGATAAGGGGAAGATCCCCCTAAAGAATTCATTTGACTAAGATGAGTCTGTCGCTTTCCAATCAGGATAGACTAGAGAAGAGAAGTGAATCCTTCAGTTTTACAATGGTGAATGTCAACCCTCATCAAGTTGTCGTCTGTCCTCGTTGCCTCCTGAACTAACGATTGTCCAGCATCATAGTTGCTCGGCATTAAGCCTTCCAGCCTCACAACCGCCCCACCTAACTGACCACCTGGCCTAATCGTAGCAAGGCCAAGTAGTCGCCCCACTTGATGGTTGCACGGGGCCACGGCCATCCGGCTTGAAGACCGGCCGGGCTGACAGCCTCCAGGCCAAATCCATGGGCACCACGGGCAATTTTTTATGTACGGATTGAAATCCCTCCGTTGCACCTATATATTTTAGAGGTACAATATATAATTATACGAGGACCCATTCCTATTTGCTCTCTCTCTATCACATCCCTGAGGGTCGTATTCCTTAGGCGAGTTGTCTAGAAGGCATGTTAAAGTTACCTTTGCCGTCAGTTACGGGGTGCAATAGGAAGCATTTAATTGTTCGTACGATTTTCTATTTCTATCTCAAAAAAAATGGCAATGTAAATCTTATAATCCACAATATATATATATA